CTACATAATGTAGATGACTCCCTGAGCGATGGAATTCAAAATAAAATGGCCATTTCTAATATGGAACCTGAATTTACACTGAACATTCCTATAGACCATGTTAGACCATTTACCTTGGAAGAACTAATCAACGGTTTAAAACATAAGAAGTCCTCTGCCCCGGGGTTAGATGACGTCTCGTATGAGATGATTAATCATCTACCAGTCGAAGCATTGTAGTAGAAAAAATATAACATCATCCCGATACTTAAACCAAATAAGAGCCCCCATAGCATTGACCATTTTATACCCATTACCTTGACTTCATGTTATATTTAAGTGTTAGAGATAATGATTAAAAACCGAATGGAACATTTACTGGAAAGCAAAGTTACTTTCTCTCATTTCCAGACAGGATTTCGAAGAGGTGTAAATATAAATCATAATCTTGCGTTGATTACTACGCATATCAATCTAGCTTTGCCCGCAATTCATCGTTAGCAACAGTTTTTCTAGATATAAAATCTGCCTATGACACAGTTAATATTCATAAACCTTATAATAAACTCAACGAACTTAATATTCCGGTACAGCTTTCCAATCTTATCTATAAAATACTGCAAGAATAATGAAGGCTCCCTAATTGGACCAACATTAGCTACTTCGGGCCTCCCACAGAGGTCCCCGTTAAGTACAGTCCTCTTTAACATTTATACTTCAGAATTATATAAACTCTTTCAAGGGAAAGTGAAGATAGTGAGTTACGCGGATGATTGGGTCCTGTTCCGCGAAGGGAAAGACATAGAGTTACTGGTAAGCAAACTTAATAGAGCTCTAAAAACATTACAGAACTGGCTAGAGAACAACAACCTCTCACTGTGTACTGATAAATGTGAAGCCATCTGATTTACAAAAGGTAGGAGAAGAGCCCCGTCGGTAAATATAAAAATAGATAATAAGGAAATTGCTTTTAAGAACTATGTAAAATATTTAGGAGTGGTGCTACAAAAACATTTGAAGTGGAATATGCACGTATAATATAGCTGTGATAAAGCAAAGGAAGCAATTAATATAATGAAATGCGTAAGTAGAGTCTCATGGGGTGCAGACCCGCAAATCTTAATGACTTTACTTCATACTCTGATTAGGACCCACCTAGATTATGGTTCCATTTTCTTGAACTCCAATAACAAGACTGCACTTAACGTGATTTTGAGAATAGCGCTGGGATGTATGAGGTCAACCCCAACGAATGTTTTGCTGGCGGAAGCATCTGAACTGGACCTGGATACAAGGAGGAGAAAACTGGCAGTGTCCTTTCTGGCTGGAGTCCTAGCCATTGCGGACCACCCTTTAACAGACCTCATAGTAGGTACGGAGGTGATTTAGATAAAGATGATGATAGAATAGCGTGTGTCCCCTACCTGGCCCAGGCATTTAATATGTATTTGCCTTACCCGTGCTTTAACGTAGACTTTTTTAACTCTATTGCCCCGATCAAACCACTGAAGCTAAATATAAATAGAGAAAATGCAGAAGCCCATTTTAGAGAGAAAATAGAGAAATATATCCAAACACATTGTCTGGTTTTTACTGATGCCTCTAAACAGGGTGAGAGGGTTGGATTTGGTGTTTATATACCAAAAATTAATTATAAATTTTCGGCAAAACTTCACAAAGAAATGTGTATTGCTACAGGAGAGACTATAGCAATAAAGGAGGGACTAAGATTTGCTCTACAAAGAGCCTTTACAAAAGTTATTATTTTATCAGATTCTCTAAGCGGGATTTCTAAAATTTCAAATGGAAATTCCGACACTAAAATGTACTACATAACGCTACAGGTCCGAGAGATGATGATGAGGGCTAAAAGTATGGGAGTAGATGTTAGGATTGCCTGAATACCGGGGCACTCGGGTATTGAAGGTAATGAAAAAGTGGATACTCTGGCTAAAATAGGAAAAGACCTAAACATCCCCTTGAATATCAAACTGGACATACATGACGTGAAGAATACAATTCTTAGAGATATTACTAATGGTTTTCGAGAACGGTGGAAAAACCCAATACAAGACAAAGGTAAAAGATATAGAAAGTTAATACAACGTAATTTTCCTAATACAAGATGGTTTTCTGAGCTTGCCTACATAGACAGACGCCATATAACTACTATAATTAGAATGAGAACTGGACACTGCGCGGTGGGGGAACACCTGGCCTGGATAGGGGTTAGGGACTCACCTTTCTGCGAGTGCGGCGGGGTTGAGAACCTTAATCATATATTTTTCGAGTGCCCTATAACAAAGGTCCCGGGTGTGGATTTATACGTAAACTTTAGAAATTTCGGACTTAACTTACCACTTTGTGTTGAAAATATGTTAAGCACCCCGAGTGCCGAGATTATACAAATAGTCATATGCTTTTTAGATTATAATAGGATAAAACTTTAAGTTAGGAGGCGAGGTCGGACAGTCTCTCCCTAGTAACAATACTAGGGAATTTTAAATTATATGTATTTGATTCTGTTGTTTTGTCTCAGATCTGACGAGCCTGGTCCCATGGTCCATCCTAGGCCAGGAACGCGCATCCCAAGTTTCATAGTGCTAGAAAGTGTTTGTCCTTCTTTGTTTCTAGATGTGACAGTTTTGCCTGTTTGTCTGTGATTTTTGTGGGCTCTGAACCTGCCTACTAACTGACCCTATCTCCTTAGCAGCTTTAGATGCCTCTTAAATAGAAACAGAAGTCTGAAAAGTAAACTTCCCCAGGAGAACATTCTCGATTATCGGGGGCAGTTCTAAATAGTGCTGGCAAATTGCCTAGTAGCAGCGCCAACCCCAAAAGAAGAAGAAGAAGAAGACTTGGAGAACGTCTTCGATCCCAGACTTACTTTTGTACCTCATATTGGGCAACTGGTATTATCGGCGTCAAGAGCATTGTTTTTTATAATAAGAAGTTGCCGACACTTCAACAGTACCTCAGCTATTAGAACTATGTACTATTCTTACGTGAGATGTAAGTTAGAATATGGGTCATTGGTGTGGCGTCCAATATATCAATGTCATATTAACAGCTTGGAGTTGATCCAGAGGCGGTTCCTTAAATACTCTTAGGCAGGTTCGGGGAATGACCTCTGGCGGTTAGTGGCGTTTAAGCAAAATAAAATTTTATGTCCCCAGATTTGAAGCCAAATTTAGGCCTACATTTTATCTCACTACACCTAGGACGCACAAAATTGATATTAATGCTGATACACTTCGTAAGATTATTATAAGATTATAACTGCTTAGAGTACGTGTGTGAGTAATAAGTTTTCTTGTATTTTGTACTATATTTTAATTGTTTTTCTCTTGTTTAATTGGATGTAAACCTGTTAAAATAAATAAATTTGTTTATTACAAAATGTTGTTCATATTTTCTTTAGAAATTTTAGTATTACGAGTTAACTAATACTTATTGAAATAATAAAGACGAACTACTTGGAGTTTTTCTTACTCTCTTTCCTAACTGAATAGTTCAATCTGCGGAACGTCTGGCCAACTTGATTAACATGTGTGGAGTTAATCAAATATTTAAACTTAAATAATTCAATCCAAATACCAACGATCTATATACTTTGCGATGCACATTTGTTTCTTTTATAATTTTAAAAATAACGTTGCAAGAATTGCACAACTTTTGTATTAAAAGTTTTTCTCGTTAACTTCCGTTAGGCCCTGGAGGTTTCAGTTCAAGTTTCTGATTTTTATTTTTTTACTCATAAAACGTGGGATAAATTATGCTCGAAATTTGACGCAAAATTAGAAATTGAATTTTTAGAAAATGGTATTCCATTTAAAAAGGGAACCTGCTATTGATACCGACATTTCCTTTTGGGCGCAAATTGAATATTTACTATTTACCAAATCCAAATCTTCGCTGTTGACCCCGTGGGATAATTACAGCTTCATCCCAGTCGTTCGGTTTTAAACAGTGCATGCAATTTAAAAAAAAACAAAACGTTAGGAAAAGATGAATCTCCAGTATAATGTAATGTTTTTATTGTTATCGAAGTTTATCAATTAGTTGGAATCATTAATTAGGTCGTCCATAAATTAAATTCTTGTTTATTGATAAAATCATTATTTTCGTTTTTTGTGATTTCTGCAAAAGCAGTTGAATTTGGGTATAGCGTATGTTACACGAGAAATTGTTAGCAATCCAAAAATGAACTTAAAACATGCCATTTCCATTGAAAATAAAGTTTGGCAGCTTAGGAAAAAAACATAAAAATGGCAACGTTGCCTTGTCTTCATGAAATTCAGCCTAATTAAGAACCCCCGTATACTAAATTTCATAAATTGAAGTGTAATAATTTTTGAAATATATTGCCGTTGCACAACTTTTGACTAATCCTGTACATTGGGGTCAGAATTATTGACCAACACATACTGATTGAATAACTTATTTTAGGAATTTTTCATTTTTTTATTTGAATAACTTATTTTAAGAATATTTCATTTATTTTATTTTATTTCGTTGTCAAAATGCAACTCAATAATCCTTCTCTAGTTTCTGCAGGCCCAGAGTACTTTTGTTAGCTACTTAAAAAGACTTTGGGTGATAAAATCTGTTAAAATGAGTTGTTAACTATATTTAACTTTGGGTAGTGACAGGCAGTACTCAAAACTTTAAATACTGAAATAGTTTTGACACAGAGCCTTCTCCCTAAACACACACTAATTACAAAATAATTTTGTGGGGTCTGTCGTTTCCTTAAATTTTAAAGAAAAACTTAAAATGTACAACTCTAGATTACTACGAGAACCTTTGTATCGTTTTCATGGAAGCAACAAAAAATTTGTATTTAATGGAGTTTTATGTCAATCTTTTTGAATAAAACTTTTCAAACCAAACTTTGTTTTCCAAAAGTCTCGCATGACTCTTGTTTAGTGGCAACATGACGTCATTGCGATCTTCGCCCTCTTGGGTATTGGTAAAAAACGACACAGCACAGAATATTGAGGTTAGTTTTGGTTAATAAACTGAGTTGAATTTGTCTTCGATCAAAAACAATATTGATGAGGAATCGCGTTTAGTTATCGCTTTTAGTTTTAGACGCAAGTTGAGCACTAAACTTTTCTTACTTTCTACGCCTCCATGCCAAGTACTTGCTGCACTCTCAGAAGCAGCTCTTAAGATGGAAGAATTTTTGAAAAGCATTAAAGTCTTGGGGACTTTAGGAGAAGGTTCGTTCGGTAAAGTTTACAAAGCGAAAAAAAATTCGAACGGAAAGTTAGTTGCCGTAAAAGTAATTAGTAAGGTAATATTGCGTTCTGTAAATTGGTTAATACCTGTGCAGTGTTGTATATATTTAGAGGGGCAGGTCCACTAAAGAATTGAAAGGCTTCAGAAGAGAATGTGAAATTCAGCGGGAACTACACCATCCCAATATAATTCAAATGTTAGATTCGTTTGAAACCGAAAATGAAGTGAGTAATAAGAAATTGTTTAGTTTTTAATAAACGCAATTATTTTAGATATTTGTTATAACAGAGTTTGCCCACAAAGAACTAACCGCCATATTAAGCAAGGAGGGTTATTTGCCAGAAAATAAAGTGCAAATTCTGGTTTGGGATTTAGTTTCCGCATTGAATTATTTGCATTCAAATAGAGTGTTGCACCGGTAGGTAAATGAAAGTGTTTGTTAGTTAATTGAATTATATTAGAATGAATTATCTTACTTGCTTTTAGAGATTTAAAGCCCCAAAATATTTTACTCGATGTTAACAATAAAGCCAAACTCTGTGATTTTGGGTTTGCTAGGAACATGAGTACTGGCACTCATGTTCTAACTTCAATTAAAGGTAAAAATTATTAACAGAGAGATACATGCTTTGTGTTATTATTAATTTTGAAGGAACCCCATTATATATGGCACCAGAATTAATAGATGAACAGCCGTATGACCATAATGCCGACCTCTGGTCACTGGGCTGTATTATTTATGAATTGCTGCTGGGCACACCACCATTTTGCACATCTTCAATTTTACATTTGATAAGGATGATTAAAGATGAACAAATTCAGTGGCCTACCTTTTTATCAGCCGACTGTAGTTCATTTTTAAAGGTCAGGCCTTCTTTTATAGGGAATTCCAACTTTGCTAATTGGTAGTTTATGTTTTAGGGTCTGTTGCAAAAGAATCCAAACAAGAGAATGACCTGGGAACATATTTTAAACCATCCCTTTGTCAAGGGACATATTTTAATAACCCAAAATGTGGCAACTATGCCTTTAACTCAGCCTCTATCAGCCAGTGCCCAGGAAATAAAAGAGCAACAAAGAAAAGAGAGCGTCAATTACAAACATTTAAAGTGAGTTTATTTCTTACTGTTTGGGTTGGAGTTTTTCGATTTTTGCCAATGTTTGAAAAATTAGAATTGGTAATTTTTTTGCTAATAATTTAAGGGAAATTTATTGACATTTCTTACACAGTATTATGCTGGGGTAAAGGATGAAAATAATTCTCAAGTTTATGGGGAAGGGCAGTTTTTTTTTCCAATTATGCTTCAAAATTATGATTTTTTTCACAAGCTGACGGCCATTCAAATGATAGACTCTAATGCTGTTTACAATTGTTTGGGTTATACTTGCAATAATATGTCATTGCTTATTTGTGAATGCTTATTGTTAATGTTTATTAAATAATTTCTATATTGAATGAAATTCCACTTAACTAGACACAGGCATCATTAAAAACATTAATTTCTTTCAAATTTTAATAGGTGTTGGCATGTAGGTTGAAATTTGTTATTTTGCCTTAATTTGAAGAGCGTTTTTTGTTGCGTAAATATTTGGTTGTTCTAATCAAAGTGAAGGTCCACAGGTCAGAGGACGCCGGAAAGCGAAAACAAGAAGCTGGTAGGACAAAGTAAAACACCCCGCAATTCGAACGAAACCTTGAAAAAATCAACGATTCTCAGCGTCAAAGACCACAAAACTGAAAATGATACAAATATAACCTCGAATAACAGTCGTGGTTCCTTGCCTTGTCGAGGCAGCGAGGGAACTGACGAGGTCCAAATTTCAAAATGTAAGATCTTTCAAATACATTAATGGTATGCCAAAAATATAGGGTAATCCTGCAATTTATATATTTACTTATCAAATAAGAACATAATTAGTTATTTTGCCCAGAAAGAAGTTACAAAACTTCTGGATTCTTTCTGCGTCTGTTTTTCCTGAGTCGAACTTGCTGACGTTTCGCCAATAATCCTGTTGACTTCTTCAGAGCTTGACTGGAACTGGCTTGTATTTTACTTTATACCTGCTTATATTTTGTTTGAGGGGGGCGGAGCTAACTGAGCGGCATAAACACCGATTCGGATGACTGATTGCCATATTGGTGACAATTAAAGACCTGAGTCGCGGTTAATATTTTTAGGTTTGTTAGAATTTTAGTTTTATCGAATTAAATTTTATGTCTGGTTTCATGAGTGTGTTCCGCAACAGCTGATGAGTTTATTTGTCTTAAGGCTCTTTCAAGTTCTTTTAGTCTAGTTGATATTTTTCGTCCGGTGTCTCCAATGTATTTTTTGCCGCATATGCATGGAAGCAGTTCGACTCAACAAAAACAGACGCAGGAGGAATCCAGAAGTTTTGTAAAAAGTATTACAGTGCCCTGTGGAAGTTTCTTTGAAAAATTAGTAAATGCCTTTTTAAATAGAAGCTAAAAGTTTTGCATAGACCAAGAACTTTTGATTTGAGAACATGATCTAAGAAGATGAATAAAATTACAGCTTTATATGTAAAAAAACATCGAAATTTCACAGTTCTTTGTAACGGTACAGTGAGAGTGGCTTGGTATCTCAGATTCAGGTCATGAACTGATTTCCTAAATACTAATTTGTCATCCAAATATTTAGGAATGCTGGAATTCATCACACCTTTCAAGGAGCATAGAAAGTTGTGCTTAAAAACATTTTTTATTTTTAACCAATTTAATTTCTTGAATACTCATATATTCATATGGTCAAATTTGTGTAAATTAGAAATAAAGTGACAACAAATATTCTGAATTTTCTGTAGCCGATAAGACGTCACAGTGTCCAAGCAGGGGCAATACCCAATACTGCAGTAAGACAAATTAGAGACAAAACTCTTACATAACTGTATTTTCATGTCATACTACAATACATCTTTATTTGAATGTATCAATCTCAAACTCATATAACATTTTTTCGAGACATACGCGACATGATCCAAAATCTTCATATTCTCATCAATATATAAACCCAGATTTTTAACAGACTTGGTTGGAGTAACGTTACACTTTGAAGGATTTAAGCGTAAATTATGCCCCTCTGCAAAGCTACCTATATTTTCTAAATTCCTATTCATGATGTTCGCTGCATATTCACAATTGTCGCTCAAAACTATGATACATTGGCTTGGCACTGTGCAACCACACCACCCAGATCTTCCATATGAATCGAAAATAAAACGGTTCCAATATTGAGCCCTGCGGCACCCTCGATAAAATATCTAGAGATGACGAGAGCTGATTTTTTAACAGTACCTTTTGCCGCTAGTCATATAGACATGACTGCAGAAAATTTAACGTTCTTTCATCAAATCCAATATACCGACATTTGGCAATCAACAATTTGTGATGAATAGTATCGAAGGCATTTGTGAAATCTAGTAGAACCAAAGTTGTCGGCATAGACTTGAGACTTGTCATCTGCTCTCAAGATTTCATCACACAAGTTCAAGTAACCGCGCTATGCCCTTTCCTAAAACCGGATTGGTGAATTGGAAGCAATTCATTCACAGCTATATTCATTTATTCATTTATCTGTTTGTATACCACTTTTTCCAGATTTTTTTACAAAATCGGTAATAAGCTTATCGGCCTCAAGTCTCCAGATAGGGATGGATCAGTATTCTTAAAAATTGGTATGATCAATGTCTCTTTCGACTAACCTGCGAAATATCCGATTTCAAGGCAATAAATCACTAAATGGTAAATCTATTTGTCTATTGCTGGCGTACATAGTTTTACCATCTCCAATGTGATTCCGTCCACCCTCATAGCACCAGATTTTATTTAGATTTAGATTTAATTAGATTCGTTACTAATTTTGTTAGTATTATAAAAAGTTATGGTTGCTGCACATTTGTTATCACTGTTCTCGAACAAGGAGACAAAAAAACAATTAATTTCTTCTGGAATATCCAAATTTGGTGGTATCTCTACAATTATCCAATTTTTCTGTTTTTTTCTCTGTCTGTAATGTTCCCATGCTTCTGGTGTTTTTTGTTTTCGATAACTATATAGAGCTTCATCTCTCTGTTTCTTAAACATTTTGGGGTTTGAAGTTAACCATGGCTTGAAGTTAATTAGATTTGTTATACGAGCCGCGCGAAGAGAGGCGTTGTTTTGCGCGAAATTGACCTTATTATTTATATCGGCGCTATAGAGAATTTTGTTTCACTAGACATTGTGCAAGTCAATATTGAACTGTTCAATATTTATATTTTTTAGATCCCTATAAGTAACTATACGAGGCTTAGGTTTAGAACATGGTTCACGTTGTTCACATGTTCCACGTTTATCACATTTGTCAGGATGATTTGTAATATATGCGTCGATTAAAGTTTCAGAATGTTCAGTAATTCGAGTAGGTTCAGTTAATTTGATTTTATTATGTAAGTTCAAAAAATTACTTTTATATCGAATGACATTATATCGACAGCTCAGTCGATACAGACCCCAGGAGTGCGGCAGATCACTCTGACTAATATATATGTGCGACTAAAAGACACTTTTAACCAAATATGTTCAAGTTCTGTAATGTGACCGCAAATGTTATTGTCAAGTCTGAAAATTTCACATTGTAAATGGCTCCTGACAAAAACACCAACACCTCCCCCATGGCCTTGCCTGTCCCACCTGTAAAGTCTAAAGCCTGGTACTCTCACCAATTCAGAGGATTATTTTTTTTTTAACATTTTGCATGTAGTTGGTAAACACTGGACATTCCGAACTTCTGGCTGTGTGATCGACAGAACTATTTTTTGCTGTGTCTCGTAGTTTTAAATCACAGATTTTTGCAAATTGTTAGTATATTCTCACTCCGATAGCACTTTGTCTAAATGAACACTTTTCCAATGTAAACATTCTATTTCTGGGTTTGATCACTCGCTGCTGTTTTTTTCAGCAGTTTTTAGAATAACCTAAAGCAGTTACAAAAGAACTGGAAATAAGCAAAATATGGGGATAAAAAAAATGCAAATGATGAGAAAGTTTTTTACAAAAAAATTAAAGTCAATAATATAGTTATATATTTAGTACTGGTGTATCTGTAATACCTTTTCTTTGCATGAAATGTAGATATTAGTAACAATTACTTTGTTAACTCTATTCCAAAGCACGTACCAGATCGTGAAAGTCAAGAGTTCTATTAAAATAATATAATACCAAATATTATGAAAAGGTACTTACCAGAAGTGCTCCGAGGATGGAAAAAACGTTGGCACGAGTGTATTATATTTGAAGGATTGGATTACTTTGAAGGGGACAACATTAATTTTGATGGATAAAAAAATACTTTTTGGTAAAAATTAAAAGTAAATTTTTGAACATTAAACATTAAAAATTCCGAGGATTTTTCTCAAGCAGAAATTTGCTGTGTAAAATCTAGCAGATAAGCAATATACCGCCATTTTTAAGGTGAAAAATTTTATTGTTAGATTTAATTTAATTTTAATGTTGACCGCCTTTTAACTTTGTGGTTAAATATTAATTTAATTTTACATTACCAGCTTTTATCAGTTGACAGTATACATCGATATGAAAAGACAGCAATTGCTCCAACTATTTCTATGTCTTTTTCATAAGTAAAATTTAAAGTTTTAGATTAAATTAAATGTTTGTATAAAAGGCCAACATATATTGTAAGGTTTGCTGGTACAGTAACAAGTTTACCTAGCCCAAATGATTTATATTAAGTTATTAGGATTATACTTACATTAAAAGGATTTTCACAAAAGTGAATGTGCTCTTGGTGCTCTTTGTAGAATTATCCCCTACACCTCTTCGGCATTCTTTTAGTTATTTTATTCGTCGCTTTTTATCTTCCAGTGAACATTTGATCGGGGTTTTTCACAGCTCACACGAAAAGGAGCGGCATAATATTTATAACGGGTAGTTCCAATAATAAACACAAAAATTAAACATTAAACACATTAAAACCGAGACTAACGATACAAATTTGGTAAGAAATCAATGAGAAATTCTTGAAATGGCTTGAAAGAGCGATTCCAACTTTAATTATTTATTGTGAAATTAATATTGCGTTTTAAGAGTTCATATGTGTTTTCATATGTAAACATTTTTGTAAAATTTTAAAAAATGGACAAGTTCCCTATTACAATTATTATCACTTTTGTTTTTTTTCTTTTAATGTTGACCCTGAGATTTGAGATATTGCATGTGTCCATGTCAAAAAATAAGACATCGCTGTGCATCCTGAAAAGCATTTGCAGGCTTAAAAGAAAAATTGAACTTTATCGAGGAAAACCACCCCATCGAAGCCGATGAGTGGATAGTGTTCCTGCAGCGATCCATCCAAGAGATAATGAATGGCGAAATGACGTCGCTGCTTCAGCCAAATCTCACCAACATTCTCGTTTCTCCATTGAGGAACTCTAACTCAAACAGCAAAGTACTCAGTTATGTAGCTAGGCTCCTCTCGGTAGCGTTCGTCGTAAAAGGAACTCCAGAAGAGACCCTCGGCAAAATAAAAAAGGTGCCGTTCCTCCTTGGCCCGCAAGATAATGTATTCCATCACGCTTGAAATTACTTTCAGGTATACGTGGAGGTTAAGCTGGTACCCAACTTGGTGTACGCGTCGAAATTGATGGCACGCGAGCCGACTGTTAATTCCAGTTCTGGGTCGTCGGGCGGACCAAAAATGGATATGGCAGACCGCTACCGGACGGTGGATCAGTTCGATTCCGAAGATTTACGAGCGCTCGAATGCGTTTACATGCTCGTCTGTCATCTGGTGCATCTTCAGGATGAATTTCTGATGCACTTCTGCGACGCAGTTGCAGTACTCAATGTCTATAGTCTGCTCGACACGTTTTTAAGTCTGGGTGAGTGTCAGCCTTTTTTGAAATACTTGTAATCTGGACCACATCAACTTTTAAATGTATGGGACGAAGCTTATCTCGTTCTAATGACTGTTTTTCTAGTAAGGTTCTTTTTCTTCTTCCTTGCTTTGCAATAGCTTTGCTACTAGGCAATCTGTCAGCATATTTCGGGAGTCCTTAGATTGTCGAGCGAAGCTCCTGAAAACTCCAACTTTTTCTTTCTTGTAGCTTGTTTTTCCTTGTTCTATTTTTTATATAATTTTTGATTTATCTCGTGAATATTGATTAATATGAAAGGTTTTTCTAGTACTACATACTGAGGGATGTCAGAGAAAGGGGGAGTAGGTCATTTTGGATTCATTGTTGTATTCGGAGTTTAATTTTATTATAATCTACAATGGAAAATCAAATCTCTGTAATGAAAATTTCTATAGACTTCCTTTCTTCTACTTCCGACCAACCGTTTTCCGGTGAATCTCATATCGCTCGTTTCTCATGATATGTCTCAGGTACCGCAGCTTTCTCACCTTAATTGTCGTGAGGAGTTCTTTATGTCCAACTCTCGCATCCCATACAGAAGAACAGCAAAGATATAATAGCGAATTATTGTGGTCCGTAGTTCCAGGCTGAGGTTTCTTGATCTAATTTCGAGTTTTGCATCGTATTGCTGATTGTCGAGCAAACCCAGGTGTCTTATAGATGTCACTTGGTCAGTGATTCCTCCGTGGAGTCTTACGCTGGCGTTTCTTTGGGTTGTTGAGAATATCAATAATTTGGTCTTAGACGTGTTCATATCAACGCCGAATTGCTCGCTATATAAGAGATTGAAGTTCTTGTAGACTTTCCTACGGTATCATCTGCATAACAAACATTACTTATAATATTTCTATTGATCTTTATGGCGGCAGTTGTGTTTGCGAGGGATTCATTAAAAATTGCCTCAGAGTAGAAGTTATACAGTACACCTCTTTGACAGCAGTTACAAACTAATATTTGAACTTTAGAAACAATTCTAAAAAAATTGTCATTGTGCAAATAGTAAACCTACCACGTACCTTTAACAAATTCTAAAATGGATTAAAAAAAGGAACTTGGTATCAATATCAGCTTTTTGCCCAACCCTGTATATTTTCAATTACCTGCATCAAGTGCGCAAGAAAAAATTATGATGGACGTATGCCAGCATTTTTCTTAGAATAAAGGTTCTAATTTTTAAATAAATTTGGTTGTGTATAAAGATAACCCATAAGTTTATTTTTATGTTTACTATTTCGAAATATCAGATTTTGTATTTCATAAATTATTGCAGCAAAAAAAAGGGTGAGAATCGCGATGGATATTATATCGATCATGACCCATACGATAAGAAGGTTGCCCGAAAACAGTGAATTGGTCGAAAAAATCGTGTGCTGTCGAGCCAGCTCGGGTAGCAATTCCCCCTCTTTCGCGGACTTTTTGCGCCACTCTGACCCGCTCATGCGGGAGAGGATTTGTTACTTTCTGCTGCAGATGGGCAGGTGCTTCCAAATGGCAACCATACAGATGTTTTGGACGGACGAGCTGAGAGATACTCTGGAAGCATTGATGTTTGACTCGATCGAGAGTGTTAGAAATGTAAGTAACCTCTATGGACCGGGTAATAATTACGTAAATGTAAATTTTAGGCCGCAGAAATGGCTGTGGGGGAACTAAAGCATAAAGATTTCTACAAATTACACGAATTAAATGCGGGTTGAAGTCACGGTGTGGATCGTTAAGAATATTTCTTGTGTCACTTATATATTCCATGTAAATATGGAGCCGTTAAAAAATCGGACATAATAGACGCCTTGATTACTTTTCGCTTACCGAATACAGTTAATAGTGGTGCCTTGAAGGGATATGTGAAAGATCTAAGTAAGTTAAAGTCTGCTAAATGTCTTAATTGTGACGAAGTTTTATATACCCTTACTGTTGTACTATTTGGGATTTCTCATGGTAGGGGTATATCGAGAACTGCTAATCCTACAAAAATTGTACCCTACTTCTGGGAACTTTATTTCAACTACTTTTGATTGCGGATTCGATCACCACCTCACATGGAGAATCCCAAAAAAAAAAAACAAACCAAAACCAACCTCCTAAACTTATACCATGAAAATACGTAGTTGCCTTCTCTCTGGCGTTACAATGTAAAACTAAAAAAATTATGCAACAGAGGTTTAAACGTGCGCACGTTAGATGGCGCTATTTAAAAATAAGTTGATACAACAACACTCGCCTTTTTTCGAGACGGTGTAATGCCAGGGAAAAGCGACCTATATCTACATATACCATACCATATTCTTACAAAGCTAACTCAAAATTACTACAAATTGTAATGATTAAGCAAACCATGTAGCGTTTCTACTAACGTTAATGGAACTCTAGACTATCGCGGGGCGTATTCCTCCTGATATTGGACTTGATTATAGAAGATATTTTTGTCGCTTATGTGTCGATCGAAGGAATTATTTTCAAAATTGGTGGGTTGTCTAGACAAAGGCAAATCCAGTCCTTGGGTCTAGGAAGGTCGTATAATAGTAGGATCATCCTCGGAGTTAATTTTGTAGCTGCATTTCTTCGAGTTCTCAGTACAAACAAAGCGTTACCAAAAATAAGTGGCCAGCCACGTTTGGATTGATCAACTATCAATACTAGGTATTTTTTCAATATTTGGTTTCGCCGTTCAACAGAGTTGGCTCTTGGATGGTAAATGGGTGAATAAAAGGCTTTAATACCTTTCTCCACGCACATGTCCGCATATACGTCGCTTTGAAATTGGGGGCCGTTGTCTGAGATGTTTTTCGGTGTTCCATATCGAAAGCATATTTCCTGTACCAAAAATTCGACAATTGTTTTTTCGTCGACGTTCCTGTACATATACTGATGACCCTTCCTCGATGTCGGATAGGGATCTAAATCATCAACTCTAATTACTTGCCATGGTTTGGTGGGAGTATGTGGTCCAAGGGGAGCACTTTTCGGAGGTTTAGTCTTCATCAACGAACAAACCCGGCATTTCCAGATATATCACGCATAGTTTTCTTCATGTTCTTCCAGCAGTACCTTTGGTTGATCGCCCTGACTGTCTCGCCTCTTCGAGGATGTGCAGCTGCTAATGACCTCGTTTACAGGAGGAACAACTAATTTATTATCGGAGGAATGAATTTTCCATAGCAAAGGAGTGTTCGATAATATGATGTTGAGCAAAATTATCTTTATTGCGGAATCAGAATTCAAGAGGGGGATTCAACTTGGATATTTTTTGCACATCATCATCATCATCATGAATTTAGTATTTAGAAACATAAGTAAATAATTCATGGTTTGTCGTGATTTGGTTAATACCCCAATACATGTATTAATTTGCATACATGGGGATACAGAGACATTCTAAATACCCAGAAATTATTGCGGATACCGAGATAACAGGTCAAAAAATTCATTGTTTTTCTCAGATACCCGTTCAATTTTGAAAGAAAATTACAGCAGCAACCATTAAGTGAGTGTTATTTTTGATTATTTATTATTATGCAGCCATAATAAAGATCTGTTGTCTGTATAAAGTAAAAACGGTTTGAATGTAGTCAGGGTCCTTTTTCATACGTCTATTCAATTCAATCAGTTTATGTATTCTAAGTCTTGTCGCCATAGATTAAAATTAACAGAGATTATCAAAATCGACAGTTTTCCTATACTTAGACAACCAATTAGCAGCAAATAAAATATCGCAAAAATTAAGCATGATAAACTTGACATTTGTGACAGGTAAATTAGGTAAAGTATGTTGAACTTCTCGTTGACCCCGAAATGAAACACAATTTGCCCACTGAAATTTCAGCATTGACTAACTTTATAACTTTATCGTTATCTTTGAAAAACGACATTTTACTGAGCATGCACACTAGTATACTTCACAAACATGCCAATAGATGGCGCTACAAACTATACTTTTTGGACTTATTAAATATCACTCCCACTAGCACAAAATATATACGTCAACAATTTTTTAATTTGCTACCCCTAAACTATTTAAAAATTTACAGTGCTTTTGAGAATTCAATGGTTTCGTTAATAAATCAACAGGCATATCAGCTATAAATACCTTAGCATAACTTTCTTTTCATTATCAGCCTCTCTGTGCACTCTGTCATTAAATTGCATTACCGACCTTAATTCCAATGTTAATTCTTTTAACAAATTTTGTTCTACTTATTGCCACTGTATTTTGCTTCCTACCCTCCCAAGAAACTACTGCACCTGATACCATGGAAGCAAAAGCTTGTGTAAGACCTTCTATCTAATGAATCACCCGCCCAATCAACACCTACATATACTTCTAAATCAGCATTGCTTTTAGAAATTTTAAATAGAATGATTTTGATACGTTTCAAGTACTTCCAAATTCGTTTAGCCTGTTACCAATGTGTCTCATTGAAACCTTGTCAAAATTGCTAGATACATCAAACTGGCTATGAGTTGCTGATAAGGATATCTTTCATTACACAAATTATCCCTTTCTAAAGATACATTACATTCTAATGGAGTAGATGCCGACTTACAATTTGTCATGTTAAACTTTCTTAAACATTGATCAACATACTGCTCCTGGTCTAAAAATATTTCATTCTTTTCTTCATCTACCCAAACCCTCATTCCTAAACACTGCCTAACTTCTCCTAAGTCTCTAATTTTAAAACTTGATGCTAATTCCTTTCTTAAACAATCTGTTTCTTTGAATGAGTTAGAAAAAATGAAAAAATCATCTTCATATATTATATATGTTATATTTAGATCAAATTGTACTGATAAAGCAAATAACAACCTAAGCGTTGAATGTCTGATAACTGGGGAAAAAGTTTCTTCGAAATCTACGCCTTGTTTTTGACCAAAGCGCCTTTCGCAACTAACCTTGCTCTATATGTCACTTTATTTTCACAATCAACCTTTTTTCTGAACACCCACTTACAGTGCACTACGCTACACAGCTTTTTAATGTCCATCATCTCCCACGCTTCATTTTCTTCAGACGATTCAAGCTCTTTCTTGATGGCTTCCAGGCTTATCAGGTCTTGATAGTGCATCTTGGAATGTAACTGGATCTTCCAAATCTCGGTTTTTCTCGGTTAATGTTCCGACCTCAATATTTCTGATGCTTCTTCTGGTCTTTCGGGAACGAAACTATCATCTCCTCTGTTTTCATGAAACTCTTCTTCTATGGAATTTTCATTCAGTTCGATATTTTCTTCCTCGTTTATGTATTCCACTGAAACTGACCTTTCCTTATGCGCATCTTCTTTGCTTTTAACTGTAATACAAATAACGTTTACTGGACTTCATTTTCATTTTTACTTTTAGTTTTTCTGCCTTCTTTTCCCACTTCAAGGGTTTCTCTTTTGGAACATGTACCATTGCTAAGCTGCCATCCTTATGTTTCCAAGATCAGGCTTACTGCCGTCCATAACTCATAAGGTGTCTTATTTAGCCCTGCTGCCAATGATCGATTTCGTACGTGTGAGTGCGGGAACGCAATTGGGAGAATCCTTTGATGAAAATGAACTGCTTTCCTTTTGAACGATTTTATTTGCACACTTGTACAAACCGAACAAATTTGCGTCTTAATTCGGGAGGTGTTTGAAATAACTTCTGCACGTTGTGATAGCAAGACGGCGACTGGGGAGGCTGGCGCGCGGGTGCGGCGTTGATGCGCAGCGAGGTTGCCGAATGAGAACGTTAGCGTTAATCGCGCGGTTTTTTAAACTTAAACATCCTCCTCCCCGTTGAAGCGTAGTCTTCAACCTAGTCTAGAGGCAAAGGTGCGAGCTTTGTAATAGGTCGCACGAAGACTCCATCTTTCGGTTTCATTTCCGCTACTCTGACCTTATTATCAGAACCAGGCATTACCTTTAGTATTCTTGCTAAGGACCAGTAAAGCGGGGGTGTGTTGTCCTCTTTTACCAAGACTAACGTATTAGGTTGGAGATTCTTGAGGGGTTTAATCCATTTGGGTTTATGTTGAAGTCTGTTAAGGTATTCGACGGAAAATCTTTTCCAGAATAAATGTCTAATCTTGGAACATTGTTGCCAAAAAGAAATTCTGCTGAAATTTGAAAAACGAGAAAAGATGTCTGCAAATTTTGGAAATGCGTCACTATGCGCTGATACGTGTCTTTGTTCCGGCAAAGCGTCTAGCTTTAACATTCGCGGGACAGTTTCTATTTCGAAATCTGGATCTGTTAAACAAGTACGACCGTGCCACCACTGCGAATTCGATAATAATGAGTATGCGTCAGCTCCACTGGACACTAGGTCCGCTGGATTATTTTTGGAATCTACGTACTGCCAACATGAGGCGGGAAATAAATCCTGGATTTCGGAGATTCTGTTTGCAACAAATATTGTCCACCGAGATGGCGAATCGTTCAGCCAGGAGAGTACGATCTGGGAGTCCGTCCAAAGAAATACATCCAAACCTTTGTAAGGTGGTATCGACTTGATTCTATTGGCAAGTTTGGCTAATAATAGCGCACCACACAGTTTTAACCGTGGCAAAGAGATAGTCTTTAAAGGTGCTACTCGGGACTTGGAACAGATAATGTTCGAAGAGACAGTTTGGTTGTGGTAAATCGTACGTAAATACGGTACTGCGCCGTAGGCAGCAAGAGAGGCATCTGAAAATCCATGAATTTCTACCTTCTTGTATTCCAGTGAATTATGAAACCATCTAGGAACTTTCAATTTTGGAATTTGGTTAAGATTTTGTGAGAATGATTCCCAAGCAATTTTTAAATCAGGGGTTAGTTCATCGTCCCAATTTAATCTTTTCAACCAAATTTTCTGGATATGTATTTTTGCGGTGATAACTATTGGGCTAATGAAACCGAGACGATCAAACATTTGAGCCAACTGGGATAACACCTGCCTTTTTGTTATTGGTAATAATTTTAAAGACGAAGGACCAGTGATATTGAAGTTATCTTCGAGAGGGTTCCATGACAAGCCAAGAACTTTACTTGTCGCATCGTTTATGATAATGCTTTGCATTTGATTTGCGGTTTGATCGTGAAGATCGTGATAATTGTAATGCCTTTTATGCAAACCAAACCCTGCTGATTGCAGTAATTGTATGCGCTCAGAGCGGAGATGAATCAGTTCAGATTTGGAATTACAACCAGACAAAATGTGTGAGTTGTCTTCAGCTAGCTTGACTAAGCATTTGGTAGCTAAGTAGGATGCGGGTTTGGTACCGTAAGTAACAGTTTGTAGTTCGATACATTTTAAATCATCATTGGGATTATCTCGCCATAAAATATTTTGAAAATTAACTTGAGACGGATTGATTTTCACTTGTCGATACATTTTCTTAATATCGCACGTAAATACGTATCGAAACATTCGAAATCTGCTGAGAATATCGAATAAATCAGGTTGGACAGTAGGGCCTTTCAACATGATATCATTTAGAGAGAGGTTAGAAGATGTTTTCATAGAGGCATCAAATACGACTCTGAGATTAGTTGTCTGATTTCCTTCTTTTATGACACAATGATGAGGCAAAAAATATTTTTGTGGTGAATTACCATTGGTTTAGCGGTACATATTTACCGTGATTTAAATTGACATATTCATCAATAAATGATTTATATCTTAGAAACAGATCTTGATCTCTTAGAAATCGTTTTTCCAAAGAGAAGAAACGCTGTTTAGCGAATTTGAATGAATCACGTAGCTGGGAGGGGGCATTTTCGCTACGAAAGGGTAAATTAACTTGAAATGTACCGTCAGACAATTGTTGTGTTGTTTGACTAAATATGGACTCACATTGTTTATCTTCTGGAGATAAGAATGTTTTCTGAGGGTATTCCTCTAATTTCCAAAATTTAGGAAGTAATTCATTAAGATCAGGTGTCGAGGTGAATAGAGCTGTGCTCAACAGTGATTGAACAGAAAGGTTTTGCATTGGAGTCGGTCCACCGACAACCCATCCTACAAGTGTGTTTTGGAGTGTTGGCAGATTTTTTCCAAGGTTTATAATTACAGGAACCATTAAATCGTAGTATAGATCTGCACCTATAAGAATGTCAATTTGAGAAGGGCAGTAAAATTGATCATCTGCTAGAGTTAAATTTGGTGGTATGTTTATTCGACTTAAATCAACTTGGACGTAAGGCAGAACCGATGTGATTTTGTCTAAAATAGCACAAGTTGTTAAAATAGAAAAATCTTCCTTTGAAGAGCAAATTTTTAAGCTTACTGCTTTAGTAATTTGACTTGTTTTGTTTCCTATTCCAGTGACAGACATGTCAAAGTTAAAAGATGGTGTGCATAACCTTTTGAATGCTTCATTCGTTATGAATGTGGTTTGAGAAGCTGAGTCTAAAAGAGCACGAGCTTGAATTTTACATCGAGTTTTAGACAGAAGGATGACCTTAGAAGTTGCTAAAAGAACTTGAGTGTTGTTGAGAGATGAGCATGAAATGTTACTTGGAGAAGGATTTTCATTTGAAGTGTTTGCCGAAACCAGAGTTGTATGTTCATTCTGGGTATCAGTCTCTTGACTGACTTGAGCGTTTGGGCAGAGTTGCTCATTGATAGCGGGAGAAGATCACAGCATCTTAAATTAATTAAATTAAAAAGAAATTCTCATAATTTTGAACTCAACATACCCCCAGCCTTGAAAGAACTCTCTTTAAAAAAAAAAAACAACAAAACAAACATTTCTTTGAAAATCAATTTGTCGTAGACAACCCTTGAAACCACTTGAACTGAGTTTTTTTTCTCACCTAATTTCGTGAAACAATGGACACAATTTTGCGAATGAACGTTTGATGGCACCTTCACTCATTTTTACATCAGCCACCCGACTAATGTTGTCCTTTCCTGGGTATAACTGAACGATGCGTCCCATTTTCCAACACAAGGGAGGCACATTTTCTTCTTTCACGATCACCAATGTCCCTTCCTGCAGAGTGTCCCAGCCAGCCTTCCATTTGACGCGCCTCTGAAGTTCAGCGATGTATTCCAGTGACCAACGAGACCAAAAACCTTGTTGGTATTGTTGAATACGTTGATAGCTAGCAAGCCTATTTTCAGGTTGTTCGAGCAATCGTGGGTCCGGTAATGAGGTTGCCCTTCTTCCGATCAGGAAATGGGATGGGGTTAAAACGTCCAAGTCAGAAGGATCAGAGGACATTGGAGTAAGAGGACGTGAGTTTAAAATGTCCTCTATTTGACACAACAAAGTAGAAAAATCCTCATAAGTCAAATTTGCCTTGCCCACAGTTCTTTTTAAATGGTATTTTACACTTTTTACCCCTGACTCCCATAAACCCCCAAAATGAGGCGAATATGCCGGAATAAAAGACCAATTAACACCTTCTGCCGAAATCAATGTCTTTAAAATGACATGATTATTACGCAAAAATTTTCCCAACTCTCTCAGTTCAGTCTGAGCACCCACAAAATTTTTACCATTGAAAACATTTTTTCTGGTTTACCCCTCCTAGACACGAATCTCCAACAATGCTTGCAGAGACAGACTTGTTACAGCCTCTAAATGTATTGCACGTGTGCAAAAACAAATAAATAAACAAACATACCCCTTGTACAAACGGGTGCCCCGTCCCAAAGCTATTTTAAAATTGAACGGTCTTGCATAATCAACCCCTGCGGTATTGAATGGAAATTGTGGGATCACTCGTGACTTAGGTAGGTCTCCCATCTGTATTTCAAAGGACCTAGGTTGAACCTTCGAACACACAACACATTCATGCACCACCTTTCTCACAACATTTCTGCCCTTTAGCGGCCAATAAATTTCCCTTAATGAACTGAGCACTAATTGAGGGCCTGCATGCAGTAGTCTCAAATGCTCTGCCTTAACAATCAATTTTGTACATGGATGTTTTGGGTCTAACACAATTGGGAATTTTCTGTCATATTTAAATTCTGAAAGCGCTAGTCTTCCGCCTACTCTGATTAAATTTGACAACCAACCCTTTTTTATCTTCTCACCGGTCTCCAAGATTTTCTGCTCATTTTCGAAACATTCATCTTGTGATAACTTTATTAACATTTTTTCAGACTCTTGGAGTTCCTTCACTGTCAAATTCTTTGATTCGTGACTATCCAATTTTCTGCAACGTGCCGTAAACCTTAAGCATTATGCAAATACACGTTTCAATTTTGTCCAACTGGAATATCTGGAAAAAATTTCTAGACTATTCTTCTCTGTATTCAAAAAGGCTTTTACTCGCTTCCTCCTTTCTGGAAGTTCCTCTAAAGGTACATTAACATCCTGATTTGGAAAGAAATCTTGTGACAACCATTGTGGACCTTCAAACCACAATTTATTTCCACACAACTTGGAAGGAAAAAGTCACCGGAATACTAAGTCTGCGGGGTTTTTTTCTGACCGCACATAATGCCAATTGTCTTGATCCGTCATAGACTGAGTTTGAGATACTCTATTTGCGACAAAAGCTTGGAATTGATTTGCTGGTGATTTTATTCAACTTAATGTTACTGTAGAATCGCTCCACAAAAACAGTTTCCTGAAATTTAACGTCATGGAAGTTTGTACTTCTTTTATCAACCTTGAAAGTAATAATGCACCCGACAATTCCAATTTCGATATAGTTAGTGCCTTTATCGGGGCAACTTTACTTTTTGCACACAATAAGCGAACGACTACACTTCCATCCTTCGTGACATTTCTGACATAGACACGTGCTCCAAACGCTTCTTGTGCAGCATCACAAAATCCATAAAGTTCGATGTCCTCTGCATTGTTGCTACCTACATGTCTTGGAATATGCAGCATGTTTAATTTCACCATTTCTTGCTTAAATTGTTCCCACTCTTGGGCAATATTGGTCGGTACTTCATCGTCCCAATCCAACTTGAGAATCCAAAATCTTTGTAAAATAATTTTGGGAATGACGACACATGGGCTGACTAACCCAAGTGGATTGAACAGCTGGGCAATTTCTGACAGAATCTTCCGTTTTGTGGTACTTGACTTACTTGAAAATTCCCTCACCCTGTAGGTAAAGATATCTGCCTGACAGTCCCAATACAATCCCAAAGTTTTGTGTTGATGCTCTCCTAGATTAAGAGTTTGTAATTCTGCCTTGGGCCTTACTCCAAATTGTTCCAAGAACTCTTTCTTGTTCGAACTGAACTTTCTGAGCTCAAACCTACCAGATTTTAAAACCTCACAAACACCCTTACATATCTGAAGTGCCTCTTGAATCGACGAGGCCCCTGATATCAAATCGTCAACGTAGAAGTCCTTGCCAATTACCTTTGAAATCTGCGTTTGTTCGCAATTTTTTGCCAGTTCCTGCAAACACCTTACCGCTAAAAATGGACTTGAGGTTAATCCAAACGTCACCGTGTTTAAATTGTAGACGTTGACTTCTTCTGCTGGATTTTCTCTCCACAGTATCCTTTGTAAATGGCGTTGATCTTCCCTAACCCATACTTGTCGGTACATTTTGGCGATATCTGCGCAGAATGCTACTTCATGTTGTCTAAACCTCAACAAAATTGAAATGATATCCTCCTAGCCCCCGTAAATTGCAAATCGTTAAGTGACACACCCGAGTCTGATTGTGCAGAGCCGTCACACACAACCCTTAACCTTGTTGTAGAACTTCTTTCATTTTTCACAGCATGATGTGGTAAGTAATAACACCTTTCATTCGTGATGTCCTCACTTACTTGAGTCATGTGACCTACTTGTTCATACTCTCTCATGTATTCACAATAATCTACATGTAGTTGCTTGTCCCTGGCAAATTTCCTCTCCAAAGAGTAAAATCTCCTCAATGCCATCTCTCGAGAATCTCCCAACTTTTCAATACTCATTTTCAATGGGATTGCAACAACAAATCGACCATCCTCATCACGTCTTGTTGTTGACACAAATTTTCACAATCAACTTCATCCCGTGTCATTCCCTCGATTTGACCTCCACCTGGCTCTTCTAGTTCCCAAAACTTGGCCAGTTGGTCTTGTACCTCTGTACCGATACTTAGGTTGCACACCGTTTTCTTAGGTTTGACTCCAGATCCTTGTCCACTGATGCAGCCCGCTACTACCCATCCTAACCAAGTGTTTTGTAAGACAGGTTTGTTTTCCCCTAATTCGATTCTTCCTACTCTTATGAGTTTCCAGAACACACCTGCACCAATTAACATATGCACTTCATCAGGCAAATGAAATTCACTGTTTGCTAGACAAATATTTCCTGGAATGTGTATTGGCCCTAACTCAATTTCACACAAAGGAATCTCATCACTAATTTTCGGAATTATTAAACAACTGATAGGAATTTGGAAATCACCTTTCTGAGAACTGATTTCTACTTCACACCGTTTCGAAATCTTTTCAGTGTTGTGACCAATCCCAACCACACACACACATTCGCATATTTTGTTTTTAACTGAAGTCTGTCACACATTTTTTCAGTAATAAAATTGCTCATTGAAGCTGAATCTAACAAAGTAGAAAGTAACACCTGACCTTGAGTCCCACAATTTCTACTCGATAGCGCCACAGAGATAGTTCCTTCCTTTGAAGACGCTTCTACAGCCTTCTGTACGTCAGCAATTGGGGCACTTTCAACACTGCCATGTTCAGTTTGGCGTTGGTTATAAAAATGTAATAGAACATTATGCCCTAAACCACACTGCGAACATTTTTCCCTTGACAATTAAAACTAAAATGCTTGTTCGAAAAACAACACATGCATAATTTGTTTCGTTTTATTTGCGCAATTCTCTGACTGGTTGTTAACTCCAAAAATTTCTTACACTCACTGATGTCATGACCGCTTTTACAAATAACACATAACAATGTTTTTGTCCGGTAAAATTTTCCTTCAATTTTGTCCTGCAATTGTTTTCCAAGGTCTCTAACAAGTCTGCACGGCTTTTTAGAAATTGCTTAAAATCTTCTCAGGCATCTCTGTTTTTATTTTGAAAGATTCCCACTCCTTTAATGTTACGCGATCAAGTTTAGTGCCTAAATGATACAAAATTAACGTGTCCCAAAATTTTACAGGTTCTCCTAAATTTTCCAAGGCTCGTAAGTTCCTGTCTACGTTATCAATTAAATTTCTCAAAGTTGAAGAAGATTCATATTTTATGGGCTGTATATCGTAAATCCCCGTAATATGATTCTGCACCAAAATACGCTTGTTGTCATATCTTTTGCACAAAATGTCCCACGCGATCTCATAATTTGAAGCGCTAAATTCTAACGATTGAATTACCTCCTTTGCTGGAGCCTCAAGTGATGCACGCAAATAGTGAAACTTTTGTCGCCAATCGACTTATTCTTGTGAATTAAACTATCAAACGTGTGTCTAAATTCCAACCACTTTGAGTAGTTTCCCGCAAACGTTGGTAAGTTTATTAAAGGTAATCGTACACCTATCGTTTCATTAGAATTTGGCCGTAACTTTTCCTGAAAAATGGGAGAGTTGGAATCCAAATGCGTAATATTTTGCAAACACTCATTTTTGTTGTTCGTATCATTAAAATCACCCAAAATATTTTTTGCCTTTGCGACAATATTGTAAAATTCTGTTTGGAAAACTTCCCTTTCATTAAATTGGCTCTCTAAATCGTTTTCCGAACATAATACCTCAATTTCACTTATTGTTCAAAAATATCTAATAACTCAATTATTTTCTCTGTTCTGAATTGCAATTGCATAAACACTTCTTTTTCTGAAGATGCGCTTTCAGTTTGCACATTGAAATTTGTTAAATACCTTTTAAATTGAGATAAGCTCGCTTTTACACTAGCTCGCTTTCTAATTAATTGGTTTAATTGCTCAGCCATTTTGCTGATTTTTGACACACAAAATAGAGACCACAAACTACAAAATCCAAGGTTTGAAAAGGATCGACTTACAGGTTAACGGCGACTTTTTTCTCCGGCCCTTACTGTCTCGTCCTCCGTCGCGTCGCAGCAACGCTCCGCGATCGTACGGCCCCGCACGTGCAATTTCCAACGCCCCGCCGCGCTCGCCGATAAACTCCACGGCACCGCAACGACGACCTTCAAACAATGTTTGGTGCACCGCGCCGCTCCGCCTTGTCTCAGCTGCGCTTTTTTTGGTTGCCGACGTTCGTTTACGGACACGTGAACGTTTCCCTCACAATTTTCACATAATTTTCTTTGCGAATACAGATGATCCAACAATCTGTACTTCGCAATTTCGTCGTTTTTCACTTTTGCGGAACACTCAATAATTCTCGCAAACTCTCCACTCGATGGATCACAATCCGGCTCGAAGGACCACTATGTTTCTTCAATAATACAAGCGTTTCCTCAATCACTTAATATTTATTGAATTTTTCTTTTCTATAAATGGACTGTATCTCACTTTGCGGCGACGTCGCGACCCATGCTACAACATTGGTACACAAAATTAAAAAGAAATTTACATAATTTTGAACTCAACACCTCCATATCGGGTTTTTTTTCCCAGGTCGATTTCGTCGAGTCTTACGAATATTGTCGATAACATTCGGCCCTTCCTGACCCATAGAGTGTCCTCACTCTGCGTGTGTGATCTAAAAGGAGAAAAAGCCATCTAAGCCAACGAAATATATGTTTTTTTTTTTCAAAAATCATTTCACAATCAACAGCAAATCTGGATACTGGTTCTTCGGCAAAATTATACGACCTAGAGCAATTTACCTCATGTAAAATAGAAATGTCAAAAACCAATAAACCATAAGAAAAAGCAGTAAATAGGGGAAAAACAAAAAAACAATATTATGGAAAATCGCAAAATAGGGGACAAAACAAAGTTTTTAATTGTGGGCCCACGCTATCTAGAGTCTTGGAACGCAGTACCATCTGAAATAATACCAGGTTTTGTTTTCACCCTATTTCAGTATCCAAGCCAGCCCATTCCTCATCTAGCTACTGGAAATATGAGATTTCCAGGACGCAGTACCATCTGAAATAATGCCAGGCTTTATCGCCCTATTTCAGTATCCAGGCCAGCCCATCGCCTCATATTTCCAGTTACTTATTCTAAGCTCACCTTAAGTAACCTTTCATACTAAAATTGTATCCATGGCTTCATATTATCGATGCCAGCCAGACTCAAGTAAGGTGTCTTTGATCGTGTCATCCCAGGAATGTCTGTAACCTCATATCGGTCACACCCCAGTACTTTCGAAACCCTGAAAGGACCTCGCCACTTTGGCATCAACTTCTGACTGGCTCCCGTTGCTGGACTAGACGTGATTTTCAATAAAACCAAATCTCCCTGTCGAAACCTCTTTGGTGCGCACCGCTTCAAATCAAACTGCTCCTTTTGGCGAGCCTGATATTTGGGATAATTATCTCGGACTTTTTGACGTAACTTTGACACGTCTATATCGTCCTTAACTAGCGGAGGGTACAACGCAACTTGTCCAGAGACACGATACCCGAGTAAAACTTCACTCAGAGCCGCCCCTAGTGCTTTATTTACTGTTCCATTTAAACCTAACTGAATGTTCGGTACATTGTCATCCCAGCCGTCATCTTCTAAGTTCGCACCCATGGTCGATAAAGAATCCAAAATTGTACGATTATACCGCTCGACTTGTTCGTTTCCTCGAGGAAAACCCACCGCATTTAGGTAGTGAGCAAAACCGCGTATGTTACAAAACTTTTTAAATCTTTGTGAAGTAAATGACGTTCCTCGGTGGCTAATTATTCTCTTAAGAAACCCAAAGAACTTAATCATGTCCGATCACGATTCTATAACATAACGTGTTTTCGTGTTTTTAACAGGGTACATTAAAACGAACTTTGTGAAAGCACAATTACAATTACTAAAAGTTGAGTGTTTCCCCGGATACTGTTAATAAAAGGTCCTAGGTGATCGATATGAACAATGTCGATTTAGATAGCCTGGTTTTCTGTTGTTGCAAGATTTTTGATACAAACAATTAAGGCAGTTCTTCACATATTTCTTTACAAAACGTCTCATGTGCGGGAACCAGTACAAGCGAGCTACCGAATCGTACGTTTTATCATATGCAAAATGACCAATATCATCGTGGTTTAAACGTAAAATTTGATAACATTGCCTCTTCCGGTACTACCCATCGCGGTCCAATATCTGTTACCTTATAAACTATTCCACCTTTTAATTCATATTGATTAAAAATGTCTTTATTATTTTGAATATCACCTGATAATAAAATTTTCTTTATTTCCCTAATATTCTTAGAGGATTCTTGGGCAGCTAATAGCCAATCGCTTTCAGTTATATTAATAAAATTAATACTTATTTCTTGAGTATTTTCCCAGAACTCTTCAGTACCCGCTTTAGAATCGGGGTTCGGGTTACGGCCTAGAGCATCTGCGTGACGCAGTTGAAGGCCTGGCCGGTGTTTAATGTCATAGTCGTACTCATTTAATTCCATTACCCAACGCCCGATTCTGGGGTTTATTTCGGCCTTTTTGAAAGTATTTACGACAGCCGAACAATCTGTAAGAATTACAAATTTTCTGTCAAATAAATAATGGCGAAACTTTTGTACAGACATTACAATAGTTTCGAGTTCGAATGAATGGTATTTTTGCTATTCTTTTGTTGTTTGTTTACTGTAATAGGCGATTGGATATTCTTTTCCGTTTACTACTTCAATTAAAACGCTTCCTATACCTATCCTACTTGCGTCCGTGTACAGTAGTGTCTCTAAATTTTTATCAAAAATTTGCAAAACCGGTTTATTTATTAAAATAGATTTTAAATTTTCGAATGCATCTTGCTGTCGTTTTTCCCATTTCCAGTTTACATCTTTATGCAAGAGTTCACTTAATGGTTTTGACTTGTCTGCATATTTATGAATGAATTTTCTAAAATAGCTAGTTAGACCTAAAAATTAGCGAACATTATGTACGTCTTGAGGTATAGCGAATTGTTTAACGGCACTTATTTTACTATCTGTGGGGCGTATGGACGACTTTGAGATTTCATAGCCTAAAAATTCAATTTTCTTTTGTAAGAAGTAACATTTTTTTAGGTTAAAAGTTAGCCCAAAATTTTGAAAAAGCTGTAAAACATCGCGTAATGTGTTTCTTCTTCAATCGTCTTTCCGGGAATTAATATGTCATCTAAATAAAGTAAAACAGTCTGAAATCTTAATTTTCCTAATATTTTATTCACAATTTTTTGAAAAACCGATGGGGCATTTGTTAAGCCAAAAGGTACTTTAAGAAACTCATAATGGCCATCTTGCGTAGTAAAGGCCGTCTTATGTATAGATTCGTCCGCAATTTTTATCTGATAATAGCCCGATGCAAGATCTAAACTACAAAAATATGTGTACCTCGACAACCGATCAATCTGATCCTCTATTAATGGCAACGGGTATTTATTCGGGATTGTTTGTTCATTCAAACTTCTATAATCTACGCATAGCCTGTGACCTCCATCTTTTTTTGTTACCAGTAGAACGGGACTTGCGTACGCTGAATCGCATTCCCTAATAATGCCATGTTTTAATAGCTCGTCTATGAGATCACGTATTATTTCACGTTCTTTTTCAGGGTATCTTCGTGGCCTGTGAATTATAGGTATATTTGTTATCAAATCAATGCGCATTTCTTCCGTACATGTACCTACATCAAAACTGTTAGTTGCAAAAGATGTTTTAAAATTATTTAGTAGCTTTAAAACAGACTTAAAAGGTGAAATAATAGCGTGATTAATTAGTGAACATTCACTGCCGAAATCGATAAAACATTTAACAGGCTTGTTTTGGAGATATATATTTTTTATATATTTTTGCATGGGTTTATTAATTGCAGAATTTGGTTGTCATAATGAATTATGGTAAGCAACAACAGCGTTGCTAGGTTGATTTTTATATGGACATTTACGTCTTAAGTGTCCTTTTTGTTTGCAATTATAAGAAGTAGACATAGCTGATGCTGAAGCTCGAAAATTTTGGGAAGTAAGGGTGTTAGAGTTATCTTGTTCTGGAGTGTCTAATTTTTCATCAAAAGTTTTTAAGTATCGCGCTAATTTTGCAGGGTTAGTTATTTCTGCGGTTTCTACTGAAAATTTAATTTGTTGATTTTTTATTCCCCCCATTATTAAACTGACCTTTAATCTTCGTCCGTTATAAGCAATTTCATTTTGTTAATTAAAGCCAATTTTTCAAAACAATATTCGTACAAGCTTTGATTATTTTGTGGAACACACTTCAGCATGTTTGTCATGTCAGCATGAAGATTTCTTTTAAGGATAAACTGATTTTTTAATAATTCTTTCCATTCGGTCCAAGTAAATATGCGTATGGTCAACCCGCGATACCAGGTTTCAGCTGAACCACGCAATTTACTGAGGGCCAAGTGGCAAGTAATACGATCACTCCAATTATTAATGAACGAATATTCGTCAATTGCATTTAACCATTCCACAATGTCATCGTTTATCGGATTAAATTCATGAATTAAGTTATTACTGATCAACCCAGAGTTTCTTGACCTATCTGCAATTCCTTCAATACCTTGAAGTAAAGCTCGACTTAACGAAATAATAGACTCACTACCCTCCTGCTGATGAGAACTCTGCTCACTCGTAGACACAACTGCCAAAGGCGGGGTGTAGCTCCTGTTTTGGGCGGATGATTGACGTCGTCGGATTGCATACACATCACGATCACCACTTCGCGAACGGCTACGAGCACTAGGGGTTATGGGTCGGTCCCTCCGCCGGTCACTAATTGCGCGATGACGATGCATTGTTTTACTCAGGTGTCATCAGACGGAGTTGTTATCCCACTTCTGTGTAATCAAGGTGTTTTGAAAGTAGAATACTCGTTTGAACACTTGGGATTTATTAAAATGTAAAGTACAAAATATAAAACTATCGAGTTTTTAGACTAACGGAAAAAGAAATGTCTGCCGAGAGTGTTAAATGCCAACTGCCCTATCTTTCCTTTTGGGTCCTTAGCGTGCCCGACGTAACTCGACACCCACTTGATAAAAACCTCCATATCGGTTTTTTTTTCCCCGGTCGATTTCGTCGAGTCTTACGAATATTGTCTATAACAGTTGTAACTCCCTTACAATGAATTCATTTATATTTTCAGTGGTTTCGCAATTTTTTACAAAATTTTTTATGCGAGTTATTATGCTTTTTGTACGCACACGTTTCCTTTTGAGAATGTCAATGTCTACGCTAGTTTTTTGAGCAATGTAAATTCTAAATAAAATTGCCGACAAGTCGTAGCGAATTGACTTTCCAAATGGATTCGAACGTAAAGCAAACTAATTAAAAAATGCTTTTGAGACCGTGTCCATTCAAATGTTTTTTTTTTTTAATAAATCACGTATCGCAATTTAACCGGGTAGATCAAACCTGCGTGCTTCTCCGAAACACTCCGGTGCCGCAAAGAGGCGCCGCGGTTCGAACTCTTGCTTCATGCGCCGCCATCTGCCGGGTTTCTCGACGCGGCGATGCAGCTGGCGTGCGTGCTGTTTTGAGCCGGGGGAACTGTCTGGTCAAAACCTCGTTCCAGGCTTACCTTTCCTTTGGGATGTAAAATGATGTGTGCTTTCCTGCGGGTTTTGTTTCGATCCTCGGGAACAGCGGGGTTGCTGTCTGGTCGAAACTCGAGTTTTGAAAGCCGTGTGCTTTCTTCCTGGGGCTCTGAAGCCAGGTGCTTCCTTGGAAACCGGGTGCTTCCTTTCTGGGGGTTTCGAAAGCCGAGTGCTTTCTTTCCGGGGGTTTGGAAACCGGGTGCTTCCTTCCTGGGGGTTTGAAAGCCGGGTGCTTCCTTCCTGGGGTTGTGAAAGCCGGGTGCTTTCCTCCGAGCCAATTTTGAGCCGCGACTTACTTCACTTGTTGCGAGGGTATGTTCAATTGCACTTGCAAATACTTTCGACACAACCGACGAACGAACCGAATGAATTATCCGGCTCGAAGGACCAAAAAATGTGCGATGAAAATGAACTGCTGTCCTTTTGAACGATTTTATTTGCACACTTGTACAAACCGAACAAATTTGCGTCTTAATTAGGGAGGTTTTTGAAATAGCTTCTGCACGTTGTGATAGCAAGACGGCGACTGGCGAGGCTGGCGCGCGGGTGCGACGTTGATGCGCAGCGAGGTTGCCGAATGAGAACGCTCAGCGTTAATCGCGCGGTTTTTTAAATTTAAACAGTAGGTACACATCGGTCTTGACCTCCTCTGCCCAAAGCGATTTTTCCAAGCCAACATCAAATAGGTTTCTCCACCACGGTACGGTTCATCCATTCTAACATTCCGTTTTCTTGAGAACTGTAGGGGTTTGTTTTCTGATGACTTATCTTATGCTAAGGAATACTTTGAACTTGGAACTTTAAAATTCGCCACCATTATCTGTTTTAATTTTGCGGCTTTTCTGGTTTTCAACTAAAATTTTGCATTGTTTAAAGCAACTGAAAATTCATCCAACCCTTGGTTTTTAAGGAATATACAAATACCATCCTACTATAGTCATCCTCAAACAGTAGAAAATACCTGGAACCACCAATGGAGTTTGTTTCCATGGGTCCTCACACTTCAGAGTGCATAACCTCCACAATCTCTTTTGCTTAACTGCCTTTTTGTGAAAACAATAACCTTGAATGCTTGCCTTCACAACATACCACACAATTACTTTTGTCTAATGTTGCAAGCCCTGTGAAATCAATTCCTGACACGACTCCGTTCTTCATCTTGTTTAAAGAATTGCTATGCAGTTGTCCCCCTTGCCACTGTAGCTGTAGCTGCTACTAGACAGTTTCCTGTTCCATTCACTAAATTTGCAGTAGCAACAATTTCTTTCTGCTTGTTGTAGATTTCACAACTATCTGCTAAGTCAGTCAAGCTCTGAAGAAGCCAACAAGATGATTGGCGAAATGTTAGCTAGTTTGACTCAACAAAAACCGACGCAGGAGGAATCCAGAACAGATAAAAAGTATCTGGTAAGAACTTCACAGTATTTTTTATCGTGATAGCAAAGCATTTCTTGTTCGCTGCAGTCACAATATCTACTTTTCCCGTTCACGAAACTGAAAGTTTCTCGTTGTTCGCGGTTACAATGTCCTGCAGACTGTTTTTTTTACCGTATGAAACGTCACGCATCCATTCCCGATTTACAGTCAAATAGTTACTCGCGCCCGAATCCACCTACCAATCGCGATTGAACCGCCCGCTTAAAAATACTGAAAGCATTCGAATTCGCATTTGAATTTTTTGAATCCTTGCTTGATGACTTCGAATTTGCGCCTTTGTCGTTTGGGTTCCGACATTTGTTCATAAAGTGCCCCAATTTTTTATAACGAAAACATTTCGTTTTTGACATTTGTGACTTTTAAACTGCCAGCGCCAGTGTTGCCACCATGCCGATGATTTCTGCTCCTAACACCGACAAATGCGCTTCCTACATTACTGGTTCCATATCCATCAACTTCGCTTTAATGGCGTCAACTGAAAGGTCGATCCCGAATTTTCGATCGTCATGATTAACGGCGAATACTTTTCAGGTAAACCTGCCAACAAAAGCCTCCCGACCATTTATCATCGATCTGGAATCCCGTGTTTTTGAGTCTCTGAGCTGTTTCAACTAGCTACGTAACATAACTCTCCGTCCATCCACAATTTTCTAGTCGAATCGAAATAAGCGACCGTAAAAGGTTCACTTTTCTCGAATATCGACAAACGCCAACAGATGGTAATATACCGATTGTTGTCGCGATTTACTTGATTATAATTCCTGGAGTTAGAATTAGATGTTGTTATAACTAGTGTTTTCCTCGATCACGTAATATTTATTGAATTTTTACTTTAAGTGAACCCATGGCGTGAACGTCTACCCCGTAACGCTACAAAATTTTTACTGGCCTAGCAAAAATGTAGACTCTGCCGGTTTGGCGTGCAACGCCCTGTTGTCAAATTAAAAAGCAGATTACATAACTTCGAACTCAACAGACCTCCAGCCTTGAAAGAACCCTAAGAACCCTCTTTTAAAAGAACAACAAGACAAACGTTTCTTGAACATAAATTTGTCTTAGATAAGTTCTGAAACCACTTGAACTGGTTTTTTTTTCACCCACTTCCATGAAACAGTTTACACAATTTTGCAAATGAACGTTTTACAACACCTTCATGAGTTTTTACATCAGCCACTTGTTTATTTTATTGTTTAACTTCTATTTTACTTAGAGGGGACTGGTTAAAATAGAACACGTCTGGTACGTAGCGCAACCCGGTAACGAAGTGCTTTTCATTTGACATCGTTTCCTTAGATCATGTGATCCAAAAGTACAGTATAGTATAAAACTAAAATCTAAAGCCATCACGGTATATAGGATTGATACAATATGATCATGTGACATCCCCCTTTTTACAATAAAATTTTAAAAGTTTAAGTTTCTACAAATAAAGTTTACAAGTCAAAATCTATGCTAAAAACATAATAAATAAGTTGGAAACCAGACTCAGTTTAATAAACAATTCAAAGTTATGATTGCGCCAACTATTTAAAATCTTATTTAATTGATTTAATTTTATTGTTATCGTTACCTTATATCTAATATGACAATATTCTATCACTTTTATGTTCAATTTACATATGTGGACAAAACTGTAGACATAGCTGCAGTAAAATCATTTTAATGTTAATTAGTAAAAGCTAAAGTTACCTTGTGTGAGGTGAGTTTAAAGTTGATAAAAAAAAGAAGTTCTCACTTTATGTAAAGTGAGAGTACAAAAGTTGTATAAGCAAAAAAAACTTTTTTTGTCTATGACATAGTCAGAAAGTTTCAGTGGAATTTTCACTTCTTCCAGATCTAGTTCTACGACTAGTACTCTCTTCCCCTTCTTTGGAGTTTTTAAAGAAGAATTGAGTTTCCTTAGACGTTATGGGTATGTCTGAGTTTAACAATAAATTATTTTCGTCATTTTTTTTTTGTTAAACTAGCATCATCTAAAAGTTTTTTATTCACTAAATTTTTCAATTGATAATTGTCAAAAGAGTTATTTACATTTTTCTTTGTCAAAGTTGGAATTTATAAAACTAGAATTTAAAAAAGAACTAGAACTACAGCTCAACAAGGCTGTCATTGTCACTATAGCTATTTACATTTAAGTTGTTACCAGAGTTGTTGCTTACACCAGGATCAGCCTGTATATATTCTCTATCAGAATCATTCTGTATAGAAGAATTTTCTGCATCTTCATAAATGGACTTTTCCATGTTTGAATTATTGACTATTTTCAAAAAATATCTATTATTATGAAAATTCTTTTCTGAATATAAGTCAGGAAAACTCCTCGGCTCTCTCGAGCTTCGAGATGGAAAATCTTTGGATGTTTTGAGCTCTTTTAAGAATTTTCTGTTACGTCTAAAAATAGAACCATTCTCCAACTGTACCAAAAAGATCTAAAAGCTACTTTTCTTGAAATTTTATCATTTTGCCATGGTATTTTAGGCTTTATTCGAATTTTTACAAGATATTTTTTTTTGTTGTGTGAGAATTAAACTTTTTCCTGTTGAAATTTTTTGAAAATTTATTGTTTATCTCTGGAACTACAGATCTTAAGTTTCGATTCATAAGAGCATTTTCTGGAGAGTTCTCACCATCCAAAGGTGTATTTATAAAGTTTAGTAAAGCTAAATATGGATGTTCCTGATTGAAAAATCACTTTTTAAGTAAATTTTTAACAGATTTTACCGTCCTTTCGACTTCTCCATTTGACTGAGGATACAAAGGAGAAGTAATATGTTGAAACTCCCAATTTTTTGAAAAATTCTTAAATTCTAAGCTACCAAAATTGCTAACATTATCTGTTATTAAAATTTTGCGAATACCAAAACGTGAAAAAATTGATCTGAATTTATTGATTATTTTGATGGGTTAAAATTTTGATTCAAACTAACAACTTCCACAAATTTTGAATAGTAATCAACAATTAAGAGGTAACACTCTGATTGAAATTGAAAAATATCTGCAGCTATCTTTTGCCAAGGCAATCTGGGAATGTCGTGAAGCCTCAAACGCTCGGAACCCTGAGATCTCTGATACATGTGACATGCACTGGAAGTTCATGTCTTCAATTTGTTTTCGCATCCCTGGCCACAAAAATGACAAACTATATCCAAACATTTTTTATGACCTAAATGGCTATGATGACGTTTTTGCAAAATTTCTTTACGTAGGGCTTGAGGAACAATTAATATCCAAACATTTTTTATAACCTAAATAGCTACGATGAAGTTTTTGCAAAATTTCTTCTTTAAATCTGTAATAGAATTTGACACTTTCCGGTCAGCTTCTGATGCTTTTGGGCCACCCTTTTCCAAAAGGCTTTTTATTTCACAAAGTTCTGGATCCTCACGAGTCAACTTTGGAATTCGCTGTTTTTTCTCATCAATAATATTAAGGGAAAGCTCAACAGCACAAATTTGTGACTCAGTATCAAAATCAACACTTTCATTAAAGTTAGTTTTTGAATTGAAAGCTCGACTCAAAGTCAAAATCATATTTTTTTAACTGCATGAGCATTCTTTGTAATCTTGGTGGAGTAAGATATAAAGGTTTTTTAATAATTGAAATTAAAAGCTTATGGTCTGTTTCAATTATGAACTTTTTGCCAAAAATATACTGATAAAAACGTGTAGCACCAAACCAAAAAACTAATAATTCTTTTTCAATTTGTGAGTAACGTGACTGAGTTTCTGTCAATGTTCTCGATGCATGAGCACATGGTCTCCCATTTTGCATCAAAACGGCCGCCATTCCACTCCGAGAAGCATCCACAGAAATAGTCGTAAGTTGGTAAGATGTTTTTGTCAAAGTTGACTTTAAGTTTTGAAATCTTCTCTCATGTTCATCCGACCATCGAAAAGTTACATCTTTTTTCAGTAGAGAACGCAAAATTAAGGTTTTTTTCAGACAAAGCGAGCTATATATATATGACCATGCCCAAAAAACGTTGAAGATCTTTGATATTTCCTGGACTTGGCATGTCTAAAATGGCCTGAATCTTAGACCTATCTACCTCTATGCCACGCTCTCTTAGTTCATGTCCCATATAGGAGACTTTTTTACATAGAATTTTACATTTTTCTTTGTTAAAACGAATGTTATGTTGTGCAGCACGCTTTAATTTTTTTTCCAGAATGAAATTATGGCCAGAAATTGAGTTACTAAAGCAGATAACATTATCTATAAAAACTGCACAGCCTTCTGTCTCAAAAAATTTCTTGCATGCGTTGCTGATATACCTACCATAGGGTAATCTCCGGACAGAATATGTACCAAAAGGTGTTGCAAACGTGCAAAGTTTAGAGCTTTCTTTATTTAATTTTATCTGGGTTGCATCTAAAGTACTAAAATATCTAGAACCATGCATTTTTGATGCTATTTCATCCCAAGTAGGCAAATGCAGGGTTGGTTTCCTAAAAAATTGATTTAATCGAGATGGATCCAAGCAAATGCGAATATTTCCATTAGGTTTTTTAACAATGACTATGGGATTTACCCAATCGGTACACTCAGTTACCTTTTTTATGATTTTTTCTTTTTCTAATTTATTTAAAGTATGTTTTAATTTTTTAGTCAAAATTGGTAAATTACGTTTTGTATAAGAGCTTAGTTTTTTGCAAGTTTGAAATGTTAAAATTTATTTTATTTATTATGCTCACAGGTATTACGTGTGCCATGGACCCAGTATCCATCTTAAATGATATATTTGCCCTATAATTGATCTCAAGGTTCATCACCCAAGAATCCTCGTAGACTGTCCCTAGTGTCCCAGACTG